TCAGAGACCACAACTTAAATTTTAAAATGTGAATCCTCAGGAGCCAGAGGGTGTCTGTCTCTGCATAGAAAGTAGAAAGAACATAATACAATGCAGTGGCCCACTTACGTAGTCCTTCTCTGCGGGTCACCAGTTAAATAACCCTGCTCTTAGGCATCAATTTCGTGACTTTGTCTTTGACTTTGTCTTGCCTCTTCTTATAATAATAATACTGATCGGCTGCCTGCCTACTGATCTACTGCCATATTACTTACTAATGCAATGCAGGGTCATTTTATTTGTCGATAAAGTTATTAATTATTCTTGAATTGTTCCTAAAGTAATAATAATATTAAGACTAAAAGTGTCATTTTGCAGAATCTTATTTTATGTTCATTCGTTCATTGTATCATCCCAGTGTCAATGAATGATCAACCCGATCTGTGTGTCCCCAGCAAGTGTTTTATACCATCTAATTTAATTATAAAACATGGAGAAGAGAAGGGAGCTAGAGAGTAAAGTTGAAAATATAGGGTGAGCTGCATGCAGTAGCGAAGGATGGAAAATCTTGGTGTGAAGTTGTTGAGGGCCTATGCTGCTTCATGGGGGGGGGGGGTTAGAAGGGCAGAAGCAGAGTCGCCATGGCGGAAGGGCTAGACGTGGGTTCGCTCCCTGGCAAAGCCGGACTTAAAAAAATTACCTTTGCTCCCAGGTCGAAGCAAACTTTGAGGGGCGTACTGGATGCAGTCCCGGGAAGTAAAGGCGGTTGGCGTGATGCTGGCCACATCACCCATCTTGTGCCGATTGGTCTATAAATTAAAAATATTTGTCTAGCCCTATATGCCTAAACGCATGGAAGAGGGTCTTTTACTTTTTTTTTTTTTTTTTTTTAAACTGGGGTTCTGAAAATGCTGGGATGAACTTGGTCGACAGCAGATTTATTGGACATTAAAGGTGAGAGGATTAACTTTATTGCCAAGGGTTTTATCCCACTTGTCTCAGTCTCCCTGCACAACAGCTAGCTGCCTGCCGAGAGTGTTGCACAGAGAATGATTCCTCCTCCCCCCCCCCCCCCCCCCAAGCTCCGGTGATGATCCCCAGGGAGGGATCTGTGTAAAGTCTTGCTTGACTGCCTGTCGAGAGTGTCGCACAGAGAATGATCCCCCCCCCCCCCCCCAAGCTCTGGTGATGATCCCCAGGGAATGATCTGTGTAAAGTCTTGCTTGACTGCCTGTCGAGAGTGTCGCACAGAGAATGACCCCCCCCCCCCCCCCCCCCCCCCCATCTCCAGTGATGATCCCCAGGGATGGATCTGTGTAAAGTCTTGCTTGACTGCCTGTTGAGAGTGTCGCACAGAGAATGATCCCCCCCCCCCCCCCCCCCCAAGCTCCGGTGATGATCCCCAGGGAGGGATCTGTGTAAAGTCTTGCTTGACTGCCTGCTGTCGGCTTTCCCCTTCAGTGTGGTTGTTATGAGGGTTTTTTTAATATGGCCGAACTATTTCCTTTCACTTTTGTATTTCCTTCAACAACTATCTTTTCATTCATGGTTTCTTCAAAATCTCTGCATTTGATTGTTTCTGTTTCCATGAAATACAACCTTTTTTTTTTTCTGTTTGCCTATAACTTCAGAGAATCATTTAAACTTTACATTTATTGTCCAAGTCCCTGCGCCATACAGAATGGTTGACAATACAAAGGATTGCTTGCTAATTATAATAGCTAATAATATAATGGTTTGTAGCTAGAAAAATGGTAACAATGCAGCAGACTGACTAATTTTTGTGTGGCCCCTTCTTTCCAATGTCTTAAGTAGTTTCTTGTGGAAGTAGTTTGTCTTACTCAGGGAATTGGAATTTTAAGCGTATTTGACTGTATGCTGCCATTGTAGATGCTTGCTTGCAGACAAGAGTTGGGTTTGAATCTGCATTAGGGTTGATGTTTTTCAGTTCAGTCAGTTCTTCGACTTAAAATATTTTCTGTATATAATTTAAAAAGGCTTGGAGATAACACACATCCCTGGCATATTCCCTTTTTTTTTTAAAAATCTCTGTCTGTTGTGAGTTGATGCTGTTAGCATGCATATGGTCGTTTATATCTAGTTCTGGTTCTTCCTGACTTTATTCTGTTTTCCAGAATCTGAGTGTCGTGTCATATCCGTTTTACAGATCTGGCTTATTTGTATGCAAGCTGTTGGGTCATTGCCTCATTCTCTGGCAGATGTACTCCGACTTTTAAGGAACCCCCTCCCCTGTTAGTTGGCTTATATGACATGCTTTAGGGGACAGGGCAGTGGGTCTGTTCTTTTCCCCACAATGGGACCCTGGAACTCACACAGGGAAAATGCCTGTATTGAAATCTGTTTCTACTGTTTGTTTTCCAGGATCATGAAACAGTTCCGGAGTCCCCCGAGGTTCACTTTGAACCTATAGTCAAGCTGTCGCTGGTGGAGACGAAGACGATGGAGGAAGATGAGGATGTGTTGCTTAATTTGTAAGTCGGACACAGATTTGTCTGTAGGAAGTACTTGAATGCAGGGCTAAGAGAGTTAATTTAAAATATACAGGTTTTTCCATGTGTGGTTCCAGGGGCCCTATTATAGGGAAAACAAGAATAGACCCACTGCCTCCCCAACAAGCATGTCATAAGAGTCGACTAACTGGGAGCTTCATTCAAAGTCAGAGTGCATCTGCCTGAGAGGCAAGGAACCAGAAGTCTGCATACAAATGAGTCAGATCTGTAAAACAGATGCACACGCAACACTCAGGTTCTGTAACAGGACTGCAGTCCAGAAGTGGATAAACGACTAGAATATTCCGCCAGAGTTTACAGCTGGTGAACTCGAAGAAGAAGATGAAAATATACAGGGGGGTTTTGTTTTTTAAACTCAGAGGCAGATGTGACAGAATATTTAGCTAGAAAGGTGGTAACAGTGGAGCAAACCAACTACTTTTTGTATGGCCTATGAATTTGAGAAAGTTTCTGGTTGTTGTTGTATCTTTGTTGGTTGAGATAAAAAATCTTTTTTGCCTTTACCGGCTGCTGTAAACTCCGCTGGAAAGTTTGGGGTGTTTGTCCACTTCTAGACTTTGGCCTTGTTTCAGAATGTGAGTTGTGCACATCCGTTTTACAAGTGTGGCGTATTTGTATACAGACTATTGGTTCCTCACCTCAGGCAGATTTAATCTGACTTCAGGCAAAGAAACACCTCATTAGTCACCTTTAATGACATAACTTGTTTTAGGCAGTGGGTCTAATCATTTGCCTCAGAATTTGCACGGGGAAGGTAAAGTTCGGATCGGTTGGATTCGGGTTAATTGCACCGGATGTTACACTTCATGGCTAGGTCTCTAAAGAAGAGCTAACCAGTGGCTGAGAGCCTCACATTCCATAGCTGCAGTGACGAGCACCAGGAGCCTCAGTGAGGACGGAAGGATTCGTCTATAAAAAGAACCCATGCCCTTCTGAGTACGAGGCAAATTACCCCCCCCCCCCCCCCCCCCCAGTCTTCCTTCAAATCTACTTATAACTTCAGCATTCCAAGCTCTTGGGTTTCATTGCTGCAGATATCACCTGCCTCCATTCATCTCTCTGGTTGGTCTTCTGTTTCGAATTGGTGACAACAAGTGTTTGCAGGTCTGTCTGGACATTATCTCTGTCTTCTTGGTCTGCCTCGTGGTCTACGACCATTTATCTCTCTTGTGCATACAGTTTTCACTTCTGTCATTTGACATTCTCTCAGTAGGCCCCAATCATTTCAGTCTATTAGCTCTCATGATGCCAGTGATCAAGTGAATCATGAACAGTTAGCAGATTTTTTAAATGTTTATTAAATGGAAGCTGCAACGATTTGATTAAAGAATGATAGCAAAAGGACTAAGGAAAAAATACTGAAAGTGAAAGGGTTTGTGATTTATATATAGTATAGATTTGTATAACTCGTGTGTATGATTTAAAAAAAGTTTTGAAAAACTTACTTGGTTGCCAGTAGAAGAAACCAATATCACATCGGTTAAAAAAAGGATGGTAATGAGTTAATTTTCTGGTTTGTTCACTAAACAGGAGAGCCAAGCTGTTCCGTTATGATAACGAAGCTGAACCTAAAGAATGGAAAGAGCGAGGCACAGGGGATTGTCGGATTCTCAAGCATAAGAAATCTGGCTATGTTCGCATCCTCATGCGCAGAGACAAAACTCTCAAGATATGTGCAAATCATTATAGTAAGTTTGACTTTATTCCACCTTCTGTATCTGGCACATGCACCGTAAACTTCTTATAGTTCATGATATGTGCCATTGGTAATTATCAAAGCAATGTTTCCATGTTGAGCATTATGATGCATGAATTAGATTGCACAAGTTATTGCCAGGCATTATTCACTGTACCTTGTCAAGTACACACCACAATAACAGTTGGTTGCCCTTCCGCCCCAGTGTCCTAGAAATGAAACTCTGCCAAGAAACCATATTGTATTTTTTATTCAGATCTTTTCAGAATCATATTAAAAGAATCTTGCAGAGGGTCTGAAGTGTCTTTTTCTTCATGATTACCGGCTGTAAACTCGGCCAGAAAGTTAGTCCTTTTCCGGACTTTGGTTGTATGCAGTCAGTTGGTTCCTTGCTAGTCAGGCAGATGCACTTGACTTCAAAACATCCCTAATTAGCTGACTTTGAAAAACAACATTCTTGTTACAGGGACACTAGTTTATTACCTCCTCCCAGGCCCACATGGGCAGTCCTTTAGTGCGAACATTTTCAAGTCCAAAACATCCCATCACCAGAACGTCAAAGACCTGATCAGAGCGATCAGCAATAGCTCTGTGAGCCAGTAGCACATAGTGTTAAAGGACTTTAGATTGATAGGTTATAAATCAAGATTTGGCTGCATGATCTTGAGGCATACTCCTCGAGTGCTAGAGGTACTGGGTTCAATCCCCAGTAAGGGCTAGGATTTTTTCACGTCGACTTGGACTTCTAGTAATTTTCCCTGGTCTATGTAGTAATATCAGATGCCCATGTGTATTGTTGAACATGTAAAAAATCCTTTGGCAGTTGGAAATCGAAAAGAGTGGCCTAACGGCGCTGCCCGCGCAACATTTGGAGTTAAAAATCCCAAAGTATTTGAGGATCCTCGTCACAGAGTTTCTGCACTACCGCGTGATTTTTCGGACTCAGGCATGAGTTAGAAGTGGAACAGAGCACTTATGAATTACTACCCTTATGTCATTGTGTTGATCCGTTGTTTAAACCTAAACCTATAAATAAACATTACAGTGTGTAGATGTATCTTTGATCTGCTCAACCTCCTCACCTTGTAGCATAGTGATTTTCAGCCTGGGTACTTTGAGCATTTTTTAAATGTTTTTATTTAAGTGCAATAATCTGTTGTACTTGCACTCCCCCATCCTGATTTTCCTTTGTGCTTTGACCAGAACTAGCAGATATCAAGATTAAAGTCTCAACCATCACGTTGATATTTGGACACTAAATTACCAGTTGCTGATGATTGCTTCTTTTGTATTATTTAACACTTTGTTTAATGTGGTGGTTTTTCCCAGCATTCCTAATAATAGTACTTTGTACTTGTGTTGTCCTGTTTTTAATAACATTTTTTACAGCGGGTGAAAAGGGGGGGGGGGGGGGGTTGTGTTATTGCCACATATTTAAAGCGGCACCACCTGAAGAAGGTTAAAAAACTTGCCTCTTGTAATTTGTTGCAATTATTATCATGTAAGTAGTCTACATAACAAACTATTTGTTCATCTCAGTTTACCCAACAATGGAGTTAAAACCTAACTGTGGTAGTGACCGTGCCTGGGTTTGGTCAACAACGGCGGACTATGCTGATGAGGAGAGTAAAGAGGAAGTTCTCGCAATCAGATTTGCCAATGCAGAGAGTAAGTTATTTTTTTTTCGTTTAATAGTTTAGTTAACCCCCTTAAGTTAGTAATTTAGAGGCAGTTGATTGGATACAATTTTTCAGGCTGCTAGTCCTGAGGGGTTGTCCGTAAATTGGAGAAATGTCAAAGATAAAATGCTTTTCTGAAAAAGAAAGGATCCATTGATTCCTTAACAAGTACAGCATATCCCGCTTCATGCGAAATTTCTCAAACAGTGGCGATTCCAGTCGGTCTCTATTTCATCTCCACTCTTATCTTTCTAAAAGGCAAAAGAAGTGCTTGGGGCTTCTTAGCACAAGTTAATGGTCGACGTTTGGTGCAGGAGAGCCTAGCATATGATACCACAACATCCAGCTTAAGAATGGAGGTGGAGGCAGTCACTGCAGCTTTCCGCTGGCTAGAGAACACGACACACACACATCGTGATTGTAACTGATTTAGAAAGCATGCTGAGGAAGATCAGAACAGGTATGCTTCGTTCTGAGTGGCATGCTTCGCCGCGGAGGTGTGTTGGGAAATTAACAGGCGGACAGACTGGCTGGTTCTGCACAGCTTGGTGGACTACTGATACATGATACGGCAGACATGGTTAGTGCCTTGTGGGAGAGTGTACAGTTCGGAGGAGCAGATGGATCACCAGTCTGGTGAGATTGATGCAGTGGGGAGTGACGAGAGGTTCTGGCAGATGCTCGAAGCTCAGAGAAAAGGCAAGACGGATGTTTAATCACAATGCTGCTGGCACTATTAGTATTGGAACTCTTCGCTGGCTGCTGAAGATGGGGACGGAGGGCTTATGGAAATGCCCCGAGTGCTGTGATGTCGGTTCTTAAATCAAATCTTATCTTTCCAACTGTAGTCTTTAGATAGATTCCTTAGCTACTTTTTGTCAGTTTGGAACAGCTTTAGGACAAGAAATAGTTTTGAATAACGTTCCAGCGAAAGCAGGAAGGGATGAATAGTGTTACTGTGAATCATTTGTAGCATGCTGACCAAGGACTAATGCATCTGATAGCCCCTGACGAGGGTTTTAACCAAGCGAAGTAACTAACATATGGTGGTCCACAAGCATGTAACCCCTTACCAACTAGCTACCTCCTATAATAAGTTAGGTTAGTTGTGTATCCTTTACAGGATGTTGCAGAACTAACCCCAACAGCCCCTGGCTGTTGTGTGGTTTTGTAGGCAAATGTACATCCAGTAGTTTGCCATTGCTTTCTGGACGGTCGGCTTTCTTGATACCGCTGTCGAAACCAACGCATGGTCCGCAGCTGTAATTGAACTCGGCATCCCAGCATTACGAAGCGTTCACATCGACTTAGTCACAGAGCCGGCCCTAAAGCAAGTAGAGAACGAAAATATCTTTGAAGATAGCAGTTGGCTGGCCGCAATAGATATATCCATAGCGACTATAATATATTTAATTCCTCTTGTGTCGCACCAAGCGGCACATTCTCTCTGACTGATTTTCTGTTTGTCTTTCGGTAGAGGTTGCTTGCCTCCAGAAAGACTTGACAATACCTAGATTGTTATGCGTCAGTCATCTCAAAGAAAACTTAAGTACATGCTGTGAGTTCATCACTGATTTGTTTGTGCTTATTAATAATTTCAGATTGGGGACATTCAGCTTATATGCTTGTTTTGGTTTCAGATGCTCAAAAATTTAAAACCATCTTTGATGAATCAGCAGTAGAGATGGAAAAACTCCTTAAAACATCAAAGGTGATAGAGAGTAAGTATTGCCAAATTAGTTTAACACAAATAAAAACATTCTCCATCATCATCCTGTGTGTCTTTATACGTCTCACAGGGCTTGCAGTTTGTTCCCCCTTCTCTCATGTCTTCTGCCTAGAGTTTCTTGTGGGCTTCCTTGTTCCTCAGTCCATCATCACCCTTGACTTCTCTCATGTCTTCTGCCTAGGGTTTCTTGTGGGCTTCCTTGATCCTCAGTCCATCATCACCCTTGACTTCTCTCATGTCTTCTGCCTAGGGTTTCTTGTGGGCTTCCTTGTTCCTCAGTCCATCATCACCCTTGACTTCTCTGTCTTCTGTCTAGGGTTTCTTGTGGGCTTCCTTGTTCCTCAGTCCATCATTACCCTTGACTTCTCGCATGTCTTCTGTCTAGGGTTTCTTGTGGGCTTCCTTGTTCCTCAGTCCATCATCACCCTTGACTTCTCGCATGTCTTCTGCCTAGGGTTTCTTGTGGGCTTCCTTGTTCCTCAGTCCATCATCATCCTTGACTTCTCTCATGTCTTCTGCCTAGGGTTTCTTGTGGGCTTCCTTGTTCCTCAGTCCATCATCACCCTTGACTTCTCGCATGTCTTCTGCCTAGACTTTCTTATGGGCTTCCTTGTTCCTCAGTCCATCATCACCCTTGACTTCTCTGTCTTCTGTCTAGGCTTTCTTGTGGGCTTCCTTGTTCCTCGGTCCATCATCACCCTTGACTTCTCTGTCTTCTGTCTAGGCTTTCTTGTGGGCTTCCTTGTTCCTCAGTCCATCATCACCCTTGACTTCACTGTCTTCTGTCTAGGCTTTCTTGTGGGCTTCCTTGTTCCTCGGTCCACCATCACCCTTGACTTCTCTCTGATGTCTTCCGCCTAGACTTTCTTGTGGGCTTCCTTGTTCCTCAGTCCATCATCACCCTTGACTTCTCTCATGTCTTCTGCCTAGGGTTTCTTGTGGGCTTCCTTGTTCCTCAGGCCATCATCACCCTTGACTTCAATCTGATGTCTTCTCCCTAGGGTTTCTTGTGGGCTTCCTTGTTCCTCAGTCCATCATCACCCTTGACTTCTCTCTCATGTCTTCTGCCTAGGGTTTCTTGTGGGCTTCCTTGTTCCTCAGTCCATCATCACCCTTGACTTCTCTCTCATGTCTTCTGCCTAGGGTTTCTTGTGGGCTTCCTTGTTCCTCAGTCCATCATCACCCTTGACTTCTCGCATGTCTTCTGCCTAGACTTTCTTATGGGCTTCCTTGTTCCTCAGTCCATCATCACCCTTGACTTCTCTGTCTTCTGTCTAGGCTTTCTTGTGGGCTTCCTTGTTCCTCGGTCCATCATCACCCTTGACTTCTCTGTCTTCTGTCTAGGCTTTCTTGTGGGCTTCCTTGTTCCTCAGTCCATCATCACCCTTGACTTCACTGTCTTCTGTCTAGGCTTTCTTGTGGGCTTCCTTGTTCCTCGGTCCACCATCACCCTTGACTTCTCTCTGATGTCTTCCGCCTAGACTTTCTTGTGGGCTTCCTTGTTCCTCAGTCCATCATCACCCTTGACTTCTCTCATGTCTTCTGCCTAGGGTTTCTTGTGGGCTTCCTTGTTCCTCAGGCCATCATCACCCTTGACTTCAATCTGATGTCTTCTCCCTAGGGTTTCTTGTGGGCTTCCTTGTTCCTCAGTCCATCATCACCCTTGACTTCTCTCTCATGTCTTCTGCCTAGGGTTTCTTGTGGGCTTCCTTGTTCCTCAGTCCATCATCACCCTTGACTTCTCTCTCATGTCTTCTGCCTAGACTTTCTTGTGGGCTTCCTTGTTCCTCAGTCCATCATCACCCTTCACTTCTCTCTCATGTCTTCTGTCTAGACTTTCTTGTGGGCTTCCTTGTTCCTCAGGCCATTGCTTTCCCATTTAAATACATGCCTGTATGGTGATTCTGTCTTACTACTTCATTACATTTTATATTCATTAGTTTCCCTAGGCATTTGTTTTAGAATGAGTTTACTTTTATTGTGTCTTTAGTGGTTCTCCAACTAAAGATATGGCATGAAAGTGAGCACTGCCAGATTAGTAGTTAAAAAATACATTAAACAACTTTAGGGTATCTCACCTAGGCTTCAGGGCCACTAGCCATGTTAAGTTTTAAAAGATAAGTTCACAAAAATATTTCTGTGTAATGCACGTTTAAGAAAGATAATTCTCAGAAGCTACATAGTCAGTCAGTTCTGGAGTTCCCAGTATAGCTTCTGGGGCCCTATTATAGGAAAAAGAAAAAAATCTCGTTCCTTACCCTAAAGCATGTCGTAAGTCGATTAATTGGGAGCTTCCTAAGAAGTGGGGGTGAATCTGAGAGGCAAAGAACATCCTGCATACAAATAAGTCAGATCTGTAAAACAGATGCACATGCAACATTCGTGTTCTGGATCAGGACTACAGTCCAGAAGTGGAGTTTACAGCTGGTGAACGCAAAGAAAAAGAGATCCTGGTATGTTGAATTGAATAGGTGGACCGTCAGCTGGTTCGTGGGAAATTTTATGGATGCCGTAAAACTGGTTTCATTGAGAATGCCATGTGCAGATAAAGTAATGACGATGTCATGAAAGAAATTAACCTGTGCATCAGGAAGAGACGTCCTGATTTGGGGGGGGGGGGGGGCGCTAGAATAAATTATGACAGTAGGAGCGTTGCAGATGAAGAGAAGAGGATACTGGACAGTTTGGCATGAAACAGTAAAGGCATTTCCCCTTGTCAGGTGAGGGGGGGTGGGGGCAAAAATTAGCCTACTGTCCCGATCCAGGGTAGGAAGAGATGAATCCGCTGCCCCTTAACAAAGAGATAAATCCGCTGCCCCTTATCATTAAGCAGCTGGTCAAAGGTCAGGAATGCTGGGTTTTCATGTCGGTGACCCAGATTTATCTGTATGGCTGTGGGGTGTTTTTGTATGTGGGTGGGTCTGTTGGAAATGAGATCCTAAACTGAAGGTCTGGCAGCTGTAGATTAAGAATTAATTTTGACCAAAACGCATCTCCATGCTCTTTTTACCTTTTGTGAAATCTGTTATTCTCTTCCCACCCCCCTTTTCCCTTTTTTTAAAATTCTATTTTGTTATAGGGGAAGGCTAAATCTAGTAATCTAAATTTCAGCTTCAAGCAAACATATCACCCCATAGTTGCTGCACTCCTGTGCCAACAAAAAAAACACAGATTATCAGTCTCTTGTGGAAAGATTGACAAACTGCTGTTTCAGCATTTCTAGCATACACACGCATTAAAAGCATACAGTGGCCATCCGAAGTGCTAACACAAACAGTCCGACATTAGATATGCAGCTCATCATGGAAGGTAGCAGAAGTCACCAGCAGTTGGACACATGATCAATTTTAATCACATAAGGGCACTACCAATATTGCGACAACGGGGGGGGGGGGGGGGCTTGACCTGAAAAGGGTTGGAGACCACAAAGGGTGAACGCAGAAGTAGCAGCTACTGCCCCCCTCCCTCCTCAACAAGCAATGTGAATGTATGCTAATTGGGGGTGTTACTTTCAAAGTTTTGGTGCATCTGCTTGGGAGGTAAGGAACCAGTTATCTGCATACTAACAAATAAGATCTGTTGAAGGATGTGCACACAATTCTCCTGTTCTGGAACAGGATCAAAGTCTAGAAGTGGATTAACAACCGAAACTTTCTGCCGGATTGACTGTAGGTAAACGTCAGTAAAAATGTCCGTGTTCGGAAAACCTGTTCAGCAGTATAGTCATAAAACTGAGTTATATTGGGGTACTCCAAAACTGTTTGAGTCAACCTGTAGTTGAGTGTGAGTACTCAGTCGTAACACTTTCTTCTTTTATAACAATACAGATGGAGAGGCTGATGCAGAGAAGAAGGATGAAGAGAAAGTCAAGGAAGACCAGAATACATCCGATAGTCAAGAAACAAAGAACGATGAAGCCGAGTTGACCAGTCAGCTGAAAGACTTGAAGGTTCAGGAGGCTGGTGAAACACAAGCTGCTGCCACAGAAGAAGATGGACATAAAGAGTGACCGCTGTTGATGGACGATTCTGTTTCCTTTTAAAACATGTCTGTTGAAGATGTCTTGTTCATATATGAGTTCTGTTGCTATAGTATTTACATTGTCCGGGGTTATTGCTCCCATGTCAAATGGCTGCCGTCATATCTCATGAATTTGCTTGGTGGTGCTCTTGGACTAAATGGTTAAATCCTTCCAGTGTCATTAGTACATCCTTTTGTTCAATTTTTTTTTTTAAGCCTCTTAGCCAGATATTCCCTTTCTGTGTTCTCTTTAAAGGACAGTTGATGTGTTGTGGCTTGCAGCTCGGCTGCTGTCACAGCCCATTGGACATAAACCATAGATGCACCATCTCCCACAGCAGTCTTGAGGTGTAGACAGACGCTGATGGTTCCAGGAGCACTGGTTGTTCCCTAGTCATAATCACCCTCTCATTTGTCATCTCTTGCCATGTCCACATCTAATTCTGTATATTTGCAACCATAAACTTATTGATCTGTCTAAAAATTCCTTCCAGTGGCATTCGATTATATGTAGTCTTTAGAATGCCTGCATCATACGTCATTAGTGACTCTACTGCTGTTGTTTTTAGAGCTAAATTTCCCATTTAGAAAACTATTATGCAGAATTCAAAAATACTCAGAGATGGTAGCTTATGGGGGCTGTTTGCAATCGTAGCAAGCGCTTTCACAGATAACATGCACTTATACATTCACGTCCAATTTCTATGAGCCAACCTCGTGGAATGATATCTCTAAAAACTAGTGTACATACAATGCCTTAGCTGTGGTCGTTACACATTATAATGACAATCTGGCATGGAGTTTCAGCTCTGGCACACTTTTGTTCGTTAGCCTGGCCAGTCGTATATTATTTTAAGAGCAGCATGAAATTCTTAATGTCTGTCGTGGATGAAAGAAGGATAATGTCACTAAATGGATGTGTATTTTGGTTGTTTTATTTGGTATACAAGAGACAGTTAAATGGGTACTGTAGTGAGACGTCATCAAGGCACATACTGAAAAATGGTGACCAGTCTTGTACCGACCAATCATATTCCTTCTTTAATGTTTCTTGTGTGCTAAACACAGCATTATAACTTGATGTGTTGTTTTTGTTATTCGGCCTGTGCATGGTTGATATAAATTTCTGAAATCTGTTGTTCTTATTTCAATGGTTTGAGACAAATTCTGTCCATATTCCTTAGAAATATATTGTTAGCATCTCTCTGGAAATGGGTTTCATTTGTGAACTGTAGGGGGACGGTGGAATCACATCCCACCTTCTCTCCATAGCACAAATTGTGGGCAGTATTGTAGGACCCTCTGTTGATATCCCTCACCTTGGCCTGCTTTGTTACCTCCAAAGGAAAGGTAAAACCAAAATGTTGCTTTGAGGTGTGGATACACAGAAAAGTACTACAGTTCAAAACAAATTCTAGATACTACTGCGACTCCTCAACACTCCTAAAGCACAACAATTATTGACCACTGCTCTTAGATTTCACAAACAGTAGAGGTTGTCTAGACACTTTAGTTGAAGTTGAGATGTCATATTTAAGCAACCATGCAATTTTTGACAGTTAGAAATACCATTTGACATGTTTTTTACAATCCTGCTTTTGGGCTAGAATCCTGTAACCCTGTATCATACCAAACCAAAACTTCTGTCACCCATCAGTCGTTGGGGGTTACCATGTGCAATTGTTCGGTTTTTTTTTTTTTAAACCAAAATAATTGTGCATGTTGGCATGCTGACTCAGTACTGGGCATTTGTTACTTGATACATTTAACTCCGAGTTTATTTGTTTAAAATCTCGGTGATTACAGCATTGGTCAGCACAAAATTACTTCTCATACATGGCATATTCATTCCCACCCTGTGCTGCCAGTGCCTGACATGGTCAGTCACAACAAAGAAGAAAAGAAAACTAGAATCGTAGAAATGCTTCAAGACTGACCAGATGAGATCAAATCAGGATAAGAAAAAATGTCGACAAAGAGCCAATTCTAAACTACATGGACAGTAAATTAAATGGTTTGGCCACCTAGAATGCCTCTGACACCCGCACCACACAAGGCATACACCAAAAGAAGAAGGAGACAAAGCAAGGGATAGACCAGGCACGGTATGACAGGTAACATCAAAGATGCTCTACAGCTGCACGATGTATCCATATTTGAAGTGGCCAGAGCAAGAACAAGAATCTCCTTTGACACCGTATGTTGTACATGAGGGAGTTCAGAAGTCTCAGTTGTTAAAATGCGAGATGAGTTAAGGTGGCCACCGCTGTACAAAGAATGGACATAAAAACAGAGCAGAGAAATTTAGCTTCTGCAGTTATCCTAATTTAGACCGGGTCTTGTTAATTTTTGCTGTGGGGAAAGCACTAGAACTTTTTTCAGGGGATGCTTGCTTCCCCTGATACAAAAATCTAAATTTATGCAACTAGAACCACAGGCACCTGTCTCATGTCCAGCAGTAAAGCTTTCCTTCACTTCTAGCTGATCATCTGCACTAGGATTTTGGTTATAAGAATCCCAAGAAGAAAAAAAATCATGTTAGGGCTTGATTTAGTGGGGAATTGTAGTAGGAATAAACTCACAGGGAGCAAGTACAGCAGGGATCTACCAGTCGTCAGTAGAAATTATCCTCGTCAAGTGTTTCGGCCCACGATTCCTAGACACTTTCGGAGGTGGGCCCACCTGAGTTCATGAAGCTCAGGGCTGGTACCCTGCTGCACGAAATTACCGGGTGGTGTTTTTCTTTCGGACAGGGACAAGACAACTTGGTGGTTTGCAGAAGGTACTGTGAGATAAGAAGTCGTCGCGACAGCCTTATTAAAGCAGTCAGCACACCTGGGCGACCGAGCGACAAGCTTACGATTGGTTTACCGGTATATACCATGTATAGTGTAATCACCTAATGTCTAGTGAGTTGCTAGGTACTGAAGGAGTCATACAAGATAATTATTTTTAAAATAAGCTAATTCTTACAGACTGGTGTGAATGTTTGGAGGAGAGACTGTTTTGGTTCTTATTATAATGTGTTCAGTCAATCTGTTTGAAATTATCTGGTATGTTTGCTAAATTATGTTGTGCTGCGATAATTAATGTTTGTATTATTTGTTTGATTTTTAAATTCTGCTTTTTTTTATTTTTTTAAATAGGAAAGAGTAGAATAGTGGACAATCAACTTTACATATTTTGAATTCCACTGTTGCGGGGATAAATGGACACACTGAGTTGTTGCTTACTGCTATGTGGGCAGTTTCAGGGGCTAAGAAATGGATGAAGTGGTTTATACATTTAAAGAATTTCACAAGGATATTTGTAAAATAAAAGATCTGCAGTTATAAACCAGTTTTAACTTTGTCTTGTCTTTGGGTTAAGGTGGGGGGCGCGTTAGCACAGTTAAGAGGCTCGCTTTCAAATCCAGCTGCGGCTCGCTGCAGCCCACGGGCGGTTTCCGGGATTCACCCAGCCTCTAGGAAATGGGTACCAGTGTTGACACTCTGGGGTAAATGGAGGAACATTGCTGTAGCTACAGAGTTACGTGCGTACGGCGACACAGGCGGACAATTCTTAGCTGTCTGTACTGGTAGCAGAGCACTTATGGTTTATAACCGTGTGCAGTGACACTGGTTCACATCTCGCGACTTTACCTTTTTGGGTTATGGTAAAAATGTTGAGATTATGCGTCTTTCCTGTGGCAACTTATGGATGTTAATAAAGTAACAGAAAATATACTGATCATAACTCATATAAAGAAGCAGAAAGACAGAACACATTAGACAACATAAAAATCGAAAGCTATAGTTACTGTGCTGGAAATCAAACCTGTCACCTCCAGACCGCATGTGCGTCTCGCTGTGGTAACAAATGCACTACGAAACATAGTCAGCTAGGCCCCCCTCCCCACCCCCCCCCCCCCCCCCCCCCCCAAAAAGGTGTCTTATTGGCCATGTCTGTCGTACAGCTTGAGATTTACAACTGTTGAATACAGACAAAATTAAATTCAAACCATTGAAATGGCACCATAGGTTACATAAATTTATATTAACGAAGCGTAAGTCGAATAACAATCACAGCAACAATTTACGAAACGGTAGACCTTTATGCTTTGTCTAGAACTTATGGATGTGAGTCATGGACTATGACTCTCTTTGAAGAAAAAAATTGGAGCTTTTAAACTTAAATGCTACAGAACAATTCTTAAAATACTGTGTACCAAGAGGAAGAAAACTGAGGTCAGGAAACACTGGCCCATAAACAGCAACATCTCCCACAAGCTGAGCTACTTTGGACATGCACATTTAGGTCTGCATCTCTAGTCCTGTTCATGTGGTTGTATTTTTGCCTACACCCTTACAGAAGTTTTGAACCGGGTCTCCAACATGAGAGTCCTGCACTCTTAACTGTTCTGTCAGCACCATTTTATTACACTGAAATGTATCTGTCCTCTTCATGACATTGTTTACACATCAGGCATTGACAACTCGTCTCCATTTCTGCCCATCGTATCCCATATCATTGAACATTTTCTACTGTCCTTCAGGTTTCCTAAGGCAGTGCTGAAACTTCACAAGCTAGCTTGGTTTGGGTAGGTGGTGAGACATGATTTGATTGCAAAGACTACTTCAAGGAACATTGGGGGGTAGTTGAAGAGGAGGAGGACAAAGAAGAACCTGGAATGACATCAAGAAATGGACAGGACTAAGTTATCATACACTTATTCATCAAGCGGAACACAGAGAAAGATGGCAGGTTTTATGTGCTAGTGCTTCCATCAATACACCTCCAGGACCCTAATGGGTTATGTATGTTAAGGTCTTCCACCAGAGTGCTGTCCTTGCCAAAGTGTCCCAAATTATCTCCGTCTTCTTTTACTAATATTTGCAAGTGAGCATTATTTCCGGTTCTAGGCAACTTTTTCATTCAATCTCGGCTGCGAGATTTGGCAGGGCGTTACCCAGAAGGTCATGTAGTAGGGGGGGGGGGGGGGGGGGGGGGGGGGGGGGGGGGGGTTTAGTCAGTCTGTTTATTTAAAAGTAACCCTACAATACTAAAGCTGCTATATTCTAGGTGTGCCATGTATGTGTTCATGGTTTATCGCTGCATCGTTTTCAGTGTGTGTGCTATTTTCATTCATTCGTCCCCATCATTTTGTAAGCAGTGTTCTTACTTCATCTGCACCCTGAATTTCCTTGACCTGTCAGCATTGACCCTAACCGAGTATGCATACATGGAGACTGGCACTCCTTTTCAGGGCCGCCAACATCCCACTGTCCAAGAAAAATTTGTTAAAGCTGAACTTTACCAGTCATTAAATCAATTACAGGTTTAGGTTTGAACAACAGATCAACATTATGGCACATGGATAGTAACCCATAAGGGCTCCGTTCTACTTCTAACTCAAGTCTCTGAGTCCGAAGAATCTCAGCGCAGTGCACAAGCTCCTTAGCACCTGTGAGGATCCTTAAATACTTTGGGTATATTTTTTAACTCCAAATTTTACCCAGGCAGCACCGTTAGGCTACTCTTCGATTTCCAACTGCCAAGGAATTTTGTTTGCGTGTGCAACAATTCACACAGGCGTCTGATATCACTACCCAGACACCAGGGGAAATTACTAGAAGTCCACGTGAAAAAAATCCATCTTCACCAGGAATCCACTTGAGGCGTGACACTCGAAACAATGCAGCCCCAGTCATGTTCATACTGAAGACGACATTGCAGATATGGATAATCTATTTAGGGTGAACGAAAGAAGAACGAGAGGAAACTAACCATAAACCCTCTATACTACAGGACCTTCTAGGAATTCCCTACCAAATCTCGCAGGCGGTCAGATCGGGTGAAAAAGCTGAAAAGTACCTTTTTCCCCTCTAAAGTTCTTCAAGTGTGATCATGTTTGAACCAAATATTTGCAGGACTCTCTTCAGACATTTAGTTTGAAGTCTAGTTTATGTGTAATTCCCACTGTCATTTGCTAACACACACTGTTATACAACAGTGTTCATAACATGTTGATATTCTGAGCTTTGTATAAAAACTAAGTCCCTTTGCCTTCCATATATTGTTAATTTATTCTGGCACACCAGGGTTGAAAGTCAATCAGTTGGCTAACCCAGGCATCAGCAATGACCTTCTGGGACAAAGGGTTAGTGGACTCTTCTCATGTCTTTTAGGGGTTGGTGCCTCCACACTTGACATTCCCAAAGACAGCACTGGATACATCACAGTAGCCAAACTTCATCGTGAAGATGGCATACAAGTTTGTAACAAAATGATAATAAATTCTATTATTATTCAAACCAAAACACACAAGCTGACAATTTATGTAATTATTCAAACATGTATTAACTAATTTCACCACATGAGTCTAACAATGACTTCAGCAGCATCTTCTGCCCGTGGGCAACATACAAAGAGTATCTGGCTCGAGGCTGTAGAGATGCCGCTGACTTCATCCGCATCTCATCCTCTTCTATACTTGTAGGATATCCCTCTAAATGCAGCTCACCCATTCTGGAGAATACAGTAAAAGCAAAATCATGAGAATAGGAGCCGTGGCTAGACACTCACCTTTTGGCCCCAAGGACCACAGATCAAACCTACATCGAGCCGCCAATTTTTGGCTCCTAGGTTGACCTTGTCTAAAAATGAGTACCAGAAATGTCCTGGGGAGTAAAGGCGGCCGGTTCGACACCGATCACATCACTTATGAGTGCTAAATGATCCAAAGTAATATGAATCTAGCATTATATGCTAATGCGCCTACAGGTGAAAAGTCATGAGATGTCTTGGGTGTCCCGATGACAGGCAGGCATCACCAAAATGGATCTTCAACCGCCTATGAAATTTTATAGACTTCACCCCTTCCTTGTCAAAAAACGAATGAAAGAATGATGCTTCTCTTTGGTGCATGTTAAAAGTAATGTGGCCATCTTTAAATGTTACTATGATGTCACTATATTCCTCTGCACCGTGATGTCACAAGCTCAACTTTTGACATCCTTAAAAACAGTACTGACAGGTTACAAGACAATGGTGAGGTTACTGTCATTTCTACCACACTTTCAACATTTTATTTCAAGCCAACCTTGTAATTACTAACACACAGTTTGCCATCGTAGGATACTGTGTCACTATTCATCGTTCCCCTCATGGGCCCCAGTAGCAAATAATAAAATAAACATGTACGTGACAAAAGTTATGTTGTTCATACCTTTTCAGTAAACTCTTCCACCTGGAGTCCAACTGTTGAATTTTCGCTGCAAGTAGACAGTCATTTTCAAACTTAGCATACATTTGTATCACACAATTTTTAGACAATTCACCATTTGCAAGACATTTATATGACAACACATTTAGACAATCTACAACTTTAAAGACAATTCTTTGACACCACATTTAGGCAATTTACAATTTTTAAGACATCTGTTGAATGCTGAATTAAGAATGACATAGCACTCAGGACACTCCCATAAGCGCTTCATCCCCTTCTTCAGCAGCAAATGAAGAGTTCCAATTCTGATGGTGCCAGTAACTGTGATAAGATATTTATATGACACCATATTTAAGCAATGTCAATCTGACATTTGTGTGACACCCTATTTAGGCAATCTTAAGACATTTGTGTGACACCCTATTTAGGCAATCTTAAGACATTTGTGTGACACCCTATTTAGGCAATCTTAAGACATTTGTGTGACACCCTATTTAGGCAATCTTAAGACATTTGTGTGACACCCTATTTAGGCAATCTTAAGACATTTGTGTGACACCCTATTTAGGCAATCTTAAGACATTTGTGTGACACCCTATTTAGGCAATCTTAAGACATTTGTGTGACACCCTATTTAGGCAATCTTAAGACATTTGTGTGACACCCTATTTAGGCAATCTTAAGACATTTGTGTGACACCCTATTTTAGGCAATCTTAAGACATTTGTGTGACACCCTATTTAGGCAATCTTAAGACATTTGTGTGACACCCTATTTAGGCAATCTTAAGACATTTGTGTGACACCCTATTTAGGCAATCTTAAGACATTTGTGTGACACCCTATTTTTAGGCAATCTTAAGACATTTGTGTGACACCCTATTTAGGCAATCTTAAGACATTTGTATGACACCCTATTTAGGCAATCTTAAGACATTTGTGTGACACCCTATTTAGGCAATCTTAAGACATTTGTGTGACAACCCTATTTAGGCAATCTTAAGACATTTGTGTGACACCCTATTTAGGCAATCTTAAGACATTTGTGTGACACCCTATTTAGGCAATCTTAAGACATTTGTGTGACACCCTATTTAGATCTTAAGACATTTGTGTGACCCTATTTAGGCAATCTTAAGACATTTGCAATCTTAAGACATTTGTGTGACACCCTATTTAGGCAATCTTAAGACATTTGTGTGACACCCTATTTAGGCAATCTTAAGACATTTGTATGACACCCTATTTAGGTAATCTTAAGACATTTGTGTGACACCCTATTTAGGCAATCTTAAGACATTTGTGTGACACCCTATTTAGGCAATCTTAAGACATTTGTGTGACACCCTATTTAGGCAATCTTAAGACATTTGTGTGACACCCTATTTAGGCAATCTTAAGACATTTGTGTGACACCCTATTTAGGCAATCTTAAGACATTTGTGTGACACCCTATTTAGGCAATCTTAAGACATTTGTGTGACACCCTATTTAGGCAATCTTAAGACATTTGTGTGACACCCTATTTAGGCAATCTTAAGACATTTGTGTGACACCCTATTTAGGCAATCTTAAGACATTTGTGTGACACCCTATTTAGGCAATCTTAAGACATTTGTGTGACACCCTATTTAGGCAATCTTAAGACATTTGTGTGACACCCTATTTAGGCAATCTTAAGACATTTGTGTGACACCCTATTTAGGCAATCTTAAGACATTTGTGTGACACCCTATTTAGGCAATCTTAAGACATTTGTGTGACACCCTATTTAGGCAATCTTAAGACATTTGTGTGACACCCTATTTAGGCAATCTTAAGACATTTGTGTGACACCCTATTTAGGCAATCTTAAGACATTTGTGTGACACCCTATTTAGGCAATCTTAAGACATTTGTGTGACACCCCTATTTAGGCAATCTTAAGACATTTGTGTGACACCCTATTTAGGCAATCTTAAGACATTTGTGTGACACCCTATTTAGGCAATCTTAAGACATTTGTGTGACACCCTATTTAGGCAATCTTAAGACATTTGTGTGACACCCTATTTAGGCAATCTTAAGACATTTGTGTGACACCCTATTTAGGCAATCTTAAGACATTTGTGTGACACCCTATTTAGGCAATCTTAAGACATTTGTGTGACACCCTATTTAGGCAATCTTAAGACATTTGAGTGACACCCTATTTAGGCAATCTTAAGACATTTGTATGACACCCTATTTAGGTAATCTTAAGACATTTGTATGACACCCTATTTAGGTAATCTTAAGACATTTGTGTGACACCCTATTTAGGCAATCTTAAGACATTTGTATGACACCCTATTTAGGCAATCTTAAGACATTTGTATGACACCCTATTTAGGCAATCTTAAGACATTTGTATGACACCCTATTTAGGCAATCTTAAGACATTTGAATGACACCCTATTTAGGCAATCTTAAGACATTTGTATGACACCCTATTTAGGTAATCTTAAGACATTTGTATGACACCCTATTTGGGCAGTCTACTATTTTTAAGACATTTGTGTACTCCGTATTTATGCAGTCTACCATTTTAAAGACATTTGTATGACACACTATTTAGGCAATCTCAAGATATTTGTAAGACACCCTATTACAAATGAGAATCGCCAAATGAAATATTATGCATACTCAATCCTGCTGTTTGGTGCATAGACCTGGACAATGAACAAGCTACTAAAAAATTGAACTGAGTCCTCTGGAAATGTGGATACACATAATAGGTTGTATTTTATGGAAACAAAAATGATAAAATACAAAGGTTCTAAAGAAACCATGAATGTAAAGAAATAAGTTATTCTGAAAATCATAAAAACTATACGGGGGGGGGGGGGGGGGGGGGGGGGGGGGGGGGGGGGGAAAGCAAGCTAGCAATAAGCAAACAGTGACGCAGGTGGGTGGATAACATCAAGAAATGGATGAACAGGAGTCTGAGAGAGGGTATATGCTGGCGAAAGGCAGCGTGTACATCCATTGCAGCTAACCTTTACTGTGAGATGGCATGTGACTGACTGACTGACATTGTTAGTCTGTGTTAGCTTTGTGGTCAAAATGCTGGCCTGCCAATATAGTGGTCTGGGTTCAAACCTTAGCAGAGGCAGGGGCGTTTTTATTTTTTTGCGACTAAAATGGCTGCAGACAATAGACTGAGGAAACTAGGCTGTCCAAGAAAAACCTTCAAATGAATGTTGCTGGGCTAGGCCAAAGGTGCCGGACTGGATCGCATCCACGTTATCGAAAAGACTAAACATAAACAGAACAGAATGGAATCAGGGGAACAAATGAACGAACACATTTTATTTTCAAAGGGTTACAATTTGGGCACGCAGGCCCGTTTGACATTCAGCCCTTTTTAGCACTCATCTGAAAGATGAGTACCAATGCCCATTATCAATAATGCATGTTATGTTTATAATTTAAAAAATACACATTATGGGATAATGCATACACACATCATGTATACACAATCTCACACACTCACACATACTCTTTCATTCTCATACATATACCCACACACACATTCATATACATACACACATTTACATATATTGGGGGCAGACTACAAGCTTTGTGTTATGTATGAATGGCACAACAGGATGATGAGCTTGACTTAGCTCAGAGCCTTTTTTTTTGGTTTGTTTTAGTGCTGTCTAAACCCAGACAAGCAGTCAATAATTTTAAGATCATGCATCTTTCCCATGGCATCGCATGGATGTGACCAGGAAACTCTTTCTCAATTACTGAAAAATTGGAGCTTTTGAAAAGAAATCTACAAAAACATTTCTTGGAATGCAATGGCCAGGAAGAAGAAAAACATCCACACCCCAAATGATCTGACCATCGAGAACTGGCTCATAAACAGCATCCTGTCCTGAAAGCTGACGTACTTAGGTCATGTTAAACATTATAATGGCCTGGAGAGAATGGTGACAAAGGGTACAACAGTTTCTGGAAGATGAAGCAGAGGCAGACCTTTGTGAATGTAGATACAAGAAATTGAAGACGCATGGCTGTGAAATCATACAGGGCTGGAGAAAGAGAGAGTTTTAGGTGTGCTGTGAAGAGTGCGAAATCTGTAAATAGTTTTAGGTGTGCTGTGAAGAGTGCAAAATCTGTAAAGAGTTTTAAGTGTGCTGTGAAGAGAGCGACAATCTGTAAAGAGTTTTAGGTGTGCTGTGAAGAGAGCGACAATCTGTAAAGTTTTAGGTGTGCTGTGAAGAGAGCGACAATCTGTAAAGAGTTTTAGGTGTGCTGTGAAGAGAGCGACAATCTGTAAAGTTTTAGGTGTGCTGTGAAGAGAGCGACAATCTGTAAAGCGTTTTAGGTGTGCTGTGAAGAGAGCGACAATCTGTAAAGAGTTTTAGGTGTGCTGTGAAGAGAGCGACAATCTGTAAAGAGTTTTAGATGTGCTGTGAAGAGAGCGACAATCTGTAAAGAGTTTTAGGTGTGCTGTGAAGAGAGCGACAATCTGTAAAGAGTTTTAGGTGTGCTGTGAAGAGAGCGACAATCTGTAAAGAGTTTTAGGTGTGCTGTGAAGAGAGCGACAATCTGTAAAGAGTTTTAGATGTGCTGTGAAGAGAGCGACAATCTGTAAAGAGTTTTAGGTGTGCTGTGAAGAGAGCGACAATCTGTAAAGAGTTTTAGGTGTGCTGTGAAGAGAGCGACAATCTGTAAAGCGTTTTAGGTGTGCTGTGAAGAGAGCGACAATCTGTAAAGCGTTTTAGGTGTGCTGTGAAGAGAGCGACAATCTGTAAAGAGTTTTAGGCGTGCTGTGAAGAGAGCGACAATCTGTAAAGAGTTTTAGGTGTGCTGTGAAGAGAGCGACAATCTGTAAAGTTTTAGGTGTGCTGTGAAGAGAGCGACAATCTGTAAAGCGTTTTAGGTGTGCTGTGAAGAGAGCGACAATCTGTAAAGAGTTTTAGGTGTGCTGTGAAGAGAGCGACAATCTGTAAAGAGTTTTAGGTGTGCTGTGAAGAGAGCAACAATCTGTAAAGAGTTTTAGGTGTGCTGTGAAGAGAGCGACAATCTGTAAAGAGTTTTAGGCGTGCTGTGAAGAGAGCGACAATCTGTAAAGAGTTTTAGGTGTGCTGTGAAGAGAGCGACAATCTGTAAAGAGTTTTAGGTGTGCTGTGAAGAGAGCGACAATCTGTAAAGGATCTGCTAGCGGATGATGAGACCCAGATGGGGTTTCCAGTTTAGCTAAAGTTCCAAGCACTGTCATACTTCTCAGCACATAGGAAACTCAGGCACTGGTGTTGCTCACTCACTGATTTCTTAACTTTGGAAGAAAAACAAGAGCTTTGGAAAGCAGTCCACAAGGGAAAGCACTTTGATAAACTTATACCAGCCACATTTACATCCAGGACAATTCCCGGTGTCCATGTTAGGCTAGGTACCCAGACCATTTGAAAGACATATGCACCACTGCTTTCACCTATAGTTCACCAGTGATGTCGACTGCCATGTTTTACCTACCAAAGTCTAGGCCGGTCTCTGATGATGATGATGATTCACTCTCTGCATCACTCCATCCTCCCTTGGAAACATGGTCTGCAAACTGAGGCCCTGACATGGTCAATACCTACAGTTGAGTGAAAGAAAAGACATCACACTCTTTGAAAAACAATCATGAGGGAGCGAAAAGTTAAAGGTAAAGGGCGAACAGTGATAGAAGTGAAGAACAATGGTAAACACAGTACCATTTAATGATTTCACAGAACATCAAAGAATCAAACGGTTTTGTCATCTGGTAGCAAAAGAACAAAATCTGCTAGCAGCTAGAGTGTTCTGCATGAAAACAGCAGGCTAAAAAATGTCGTCCTTAAAGAGTTAAAGAGGCATTGGATGTGAACCTTGGCATGACCTGCGTAGATACTGGTATTTATGGGCTCTGATATTTCTTCTATCCATCACTTGCATGGTCAACCTTTGCTGCCATTATGTCTAAGTGACAGGGCTGCCTGTGGTGCATGATCTGGTAGAAGTCTCGACACCATAGGTCCCCCCCCCCCCCCCCCCCCGCCCTCTTCCAAAACTTGTTAAGCATCACTCAGCTCCCACCCCGCCCTCTCCCAAAACTTGTTAAGCATCGCTCAGCTCCCACCCCCCAAACAAAAACAATTATAGTTTGCCCTTTTTTTTATTGCGACTTTCAAACATGACTCCAGCAACTGCACTTGACTTGAACATTCCATGATTACCGGTATACTGTGATGCCAGAGTTTATCTTACCTTAAAATAGCAAAAGTTAGCAAGCCAGTGTGGCGCGGTGATTTATGTCACAGGCGTGAGAGGAAGTTAAGTCCAACATGATGTGTACAAGGAGATACTCCGTACGTCACTCGGGCGCCAGTCCTTCACTGTTCTGGTTTTACAGAACCTCACGCAAGACCCCGGCAGCACGTCCTTGTCGTGCGCCACGGATAATGTCTCAAATGAGCATTAACAGAGCTGTCAGGGGATCTCAGAGTTTGGCGGCCCCCAGAGGTGATGTGTCCTTGTGGCTCTCATCAGCCCGCCCCTAAAAGCTTGGGTGAAAAAGGTTATCAAAACTCATTAGGAACATGAGTATGCTTGCCAAACGTACAGCTAAAAATCACAACCCTTGGTTAAAAGAATGTGGCGTGAAGAGAACATTGTTCACTGTACATCCTCTGTTAACCCTCAGTGTCGTCGTCACCGAGCTGAGGTACACCACAACAGCAACCATCCAGAGGCCGCCCATCCATGTACATCCTCAGTTAACCCTTAGTGTCGTCGTCGCCGCGCTGAGGTACACCACAACAGCAACCATCCATAGGCTGGCCATCCATGTACATCCTCGTGTAACCCTCAGTGTCGTCGTCACCGCGCTGAGGTACACCACAACAGCAACAGCCCATTGGCAAGCTAAGCCTAAATGTCCAACAAAACTAGATCCTACGGCACACGAGTGAGCTCAAAATCTGACCACCACAATTGGTATTGAACGGAAAAAGACCAAATGTCCACACCCAAAGACCCCACTCGCCCGAGTGTTGGGACCAAACTGATAACGATATGCCTGACGCAGGATGTAAAATTCTGTCGGGCCAACGGCTCGTCAAAGAAATCTAACGTGCGAGAAAAAAAAAAAAGAATGTACCTATTCGTGTGGTCACAAAAGTCCAAAACCCACGGGCTGCTCCCCGCTGACTTCCAGAGGGCGCAGCTCTTGTCGAGCGGGAAGCCTAATACGGTTGTGAGGTTAAGCAGGCATGTGCAGGACGTGACGATTTCTTGGGTGAGCCCAGAACCAGAGCGCCATGTGTCGGCTCTGCATACATGGAAGCCTCCTTGGATGGCGGGGAATGCCCATGATCTGCCCCTGCCTTCCCTTGAGGGCTAACCATTCCACAGGGGGCTGCCCCAAAGGGGTACTCCGGGGGCAATACCTGCGGAGAAGGTGACAAAGTGGACTCCACACAAATCAGGCAACGTCTCGACCCACACAAATCAGGCAACGTCTCGACCCACACAAAACAATGGCCACAGTCAACCTAGAAATAGGCCTGACGTCTTCCTTCGAAGTCGGAGTACAGCTGCCCATGAGGCAGGGAACATTAAAACGGTTGTACACGCAAAAATCAGGTCAGGGTGATAGCCAAAAGTCCAAGCGGACGATTAACCGGGACCTTCCGCCGGAATTCACAGCCGGTGAACGATTAATAATAAAAAGCAAGCCAGTCTAGAAATAACGGTGGTTTACAAGAGAAAGGCTGTCTGGAGTGATCTGTGAAAAAAATAATTTGGGAATCTGTTCACGCAGGAGCCAGAACCTGATACATCCACGCCCAGATTTTAAATAGAAAATTTTTAGTGGGAGGTGGTATGATTGAAGACCCCCCCCCCCCCCTCAACCCATATTTTCTTCATGTCGGTGCCCCTGCTTGACACATGTTTAAACCACATGATCTGCCGTTTAATACTCGCTTCATCCCATTTTCTTTTCTAAAAATGTCGACTCCACTTAAGTTGACCTCGGACAAGTCAAATTTAGGTTAAGTCGACACGACCAGCTTAGTCCCGGCAATTTTCTCTATTGTGTGTGCTGTCTGGATACGTAGAAATCCAGATAAGTGGAAGCATTTTCTTAGGTCCCTGCGACTTCTACTTATCCAGACTCGACTGTATCGTCAGTTCAAAGTCTGTCTCTTCTATTTACAATTATACACCAACCAGAAATGTTTCTCACCTTCAGAGTCTCCAGACAAACATCATCCGTGATGATCCCATCCTGCCCTAGGACAATGACATCATCATCTGCTACCACATCCTGTCAGAATGGAAACGCATGTCTGTTACTTCCACAAATTATCATTAAACAAGTATATCAACCTGCCTATACCAGAAGAATGTGTATAATAAGCAAAATTGCAAGGTAGTGATCGCCATTAACCCTGCTGCCCCAAGAAAAACCGGTTTTATAGGCTTCTCATTACATCAATACTCTGGGCACTGGCCTATATAATAAACAAGTTAGCCTTGGTAGTGCTAACTGCACAGTGAGATTAAAACAGAAATATTTGTGTGTGTGTGCATGCGTGGGGGAGGGGGGGGGGGGGGGGGGGGGGGGGGGGGGGGGGGGGGGGGGGGGGGGGGGTCACTGTGGCATTTTAATAAACTTATGAGGATGTCACTTTGCTCTCTGGGCTGTGACAACAAATCCAGTTTTCTTAGTCAAAGGGAAGGAAAGCAGTTATTTCTGTTTGTATTTCATGATTCCCCCCCCCCCCTCCTCCCCCCGTGTATTTAAAAAAAAAAAATTACTTGTGCTTAAAATAATGACTATATATGAAACATCCAATGTTCTGGTGGCTTGTAGGTGGGGCACAGTGATTTACAGTAGAGAGAAAACTGGTCTGTCTGCCCGGTGGTAAATTGTTTCAAACCTCTGAATTTTTTTCTATAAAAACAAAATCAACATTTTAAGCTTTAATTGGTCCCCCCTCCCCCCAAGCAGCCCTTGAACCGGTGGAGAGAAATGCGAACACATATACTACTTCCATGTGTGGGTTCCAGGGGCCCATTGTGGAGAAAACAAAAACAGACCCACTGACTCCCCAACAAGCATATGGTAAGAACCGACTAACTGGGGGCTTCCTTTGACATCAGAGTGCATCTGACTGAGATGTTAGGAACTAACAATCTGCATACAAATAAGTCAGACCTACAAAACGGATGTGCACATCTCACTCAGGTTCTGGGAAAAGACTGAAGTCTAAAGGTGGAGGAGCAACAAGAGCTTTCAGTTGGGTTTTACAGTCGGTGAACGCAAAGAAGACATATACTACTCACCGTCTCCACAAGAAACTTCCATTTCTTATCAAGAAGATCTGTATCGCTGTCACCTGTGCTTTCCTTGGCAGCTGCCAACAGTCTCGTCACAGGAATCTCCACCTGGAAGGTAAGTCGACAAAATGTAAGTAAAAAAAGTAAAAGACCCTTTTCCACGCCTTCGGGTGTATGGGGCATATAGGGCTAGACCTATATTTTAAACACCAATCAAAACTTGGTGGGTGTTGTGGTCAGCATCACGCTGGCTGCCTTTATTTCCCAGGGTTGCACCTGGTTCCCTAATCAAGGCTGGGTTGACCAGGGAGCCAAGGTCATTTTCAACACACACACAAAAAATATACAGACACTTTTACCTGAGGGAATCTGGTCAACACACAACACCCAGAGGAGAGGCAAATGGACATACAATAAGACTGCTAATGATACCACCAGAACTGGAACATTATGCTGGCTGCTGAAGATGATTATGGAGCGGTTATGGGAAGATTTCAAGTGATGTTGGTTCTTAGCTTGTCTACCATGAAGTGGTGGAGAGAACTGCTTGCTCCAGTGATCCCAAGAGCTATGCCGACACTAGCTTAGTTGCTAAAGGGTGTTCTATGTCAGACAGTTTGAAGAAGAGGAACCAGACAATCAGAGTCATAAAGCTGCTGTTTCATAGATAAATGGTTACAGAAACCCTGAGGTCATAGAAACGGAATGATACAAGAGTGTGAAGTTGGTTATGGGTTGAAGTACTCTTGTTCTCACAGCAACGCCCCATCACTTGGCGGTAACTATAGCTTTTACATTTTGTTGTCAAGTGAGACACATTGGCATGGACAGCTGTTAGATCGAGGGCAGATGAGAAAAGGAGACGTGGATGACCCAAGGAAACCTGTAGAAGGACTGTAGAAAGAGAAATGGAATGTAGTATGACAAAGGACACCACAGGCAGAAAAGCAGCAAATCGGTCACAATGAAGATCACTTGTGAATGACTTATGTGTCCACAACATGATGTGGACATAGAACAGGTGCCTGCATATCACTACTTCTCTCTGTCAGTGCGAATCAACATAGGTTAAATTTTTAAAGCATATACAGCTTTTATGTAGACTTGAAACAGTCAAAGGCTAAGGAAAGCAAACCTTCCCAAAAAATGCTTGTTGAAATCAGATGTACTAGGCCAAAAACTTGAAGAAACAGCGGTCCCAAGAGAGGCCAGGAAGAGAATAAACTAATGAAGTCCCTCCACACTTAATGCACAAACCAAACAATGAACAGACCATCGACTGCCCGCTTACTGGAAATGACCATAAACATTTCAAATGAAGTTAGCCAATATATGCCAAATAGCAGAATATAGTCTAAATGCAAAAAATTGCAGGTTTTCTGAAGGTAGTTCATTTTCTCTCCGATTCTCTTAATATGGCAGGTAGCCTCATTATGGCAAGCAAACTTCAAGAGCAACTGGTCTAATTCAAGGGCAACTGGTCCATTTCAAGGCCGAATCCAATGGCACAGTTGCAATTCAAGGTCAATTTCAAGTTTCAAGGCCTGCTATAAACCCTGATGAGATAGAGATCATGGGGGGGGGGGGGGGGGGGGGGGGGGGGGGACAAACTGACTGCAGGCATGTTAAGACCTGAGCATCTGAGAAGAAACACAGTCAATGTATGAAATGACAACTTTAGTCCTGAAAAGGTGGAAGACTTTTCCTAACACAAGTTGGCCTTTCTAGTCACACTTATCGTGGACTCTGATCCTCACGCCACAAGATAACATTATTATGATAGCATTACAAATGTTCCTCATGTGGTTTCCGGGGCCCCATTGTGGGGAAAACAGGAATAGACCCACTGATTCCCAAACTAGCATGTCGTAAGAGTCGACTAATTGGGAGCTTCCTTCAAAGTCAGAGTGCATTTGTTTTAAAGGAAATGAACCAATAGTCTGCATACAAGTAGCCAGATCTGTAAAATGGATGCACACGCAAAACTCAGGTCCTGGAACAAAGCCGAAGTTTAGAAATGGACGAACAACCAGATCTTTCTGTCAGGGTTTACAACCGATAAACGCAAACAACAAAAATCCATTACAAATTTAATATTTCGTGACTTACCACATCATTTACATTATCCGGAAAAGGCTCAGCAAAACCATACATGTGCATCAGGTGGAGGTTGGACACCTGGCCGTAGGTGTTATAGATTTCTTCCCCCTGTGAGCAGAGACATTTCAATGTAAATGTTTTTGCCAAAGTGCAACAAAATATCTTTTCATCTATCCCATTCTCTGACTGTATAACATGACCGTTTTTCATCATCATCATCCTTTTATGCCACTGATACATTACATAGGGACTCGCAGATGATTTCTCCTTTCCGCTACCATCAGAATTGGAACTATGCGATGGCTGCTGAAATCTTCTTCTTCTTCTTCTTCGTTCACCGGCTTTGAATTCTGGCGGAAGGTCCCGGTTAATCGTCCGCTTGGACTTTTGGCTTTTACCTGGACCTGAGTTTTGCGTGTACAACCGTTTTGCTGTTCCCTGCCTCATGGGCAGCTATACTCCGACTTCGAAGGAAGACGTCTGGCCTATTTCTAGGATGACTGTGGCCATTGTTTTGTGTGGGTCGGGACGTTGCCAAATTTGTGTGGTGTCCACTTTGTCTCCTTCTCCGCAGGTATTGCCCCCGGAGTACCACTTTGGGGCAGCCCCCTGTGGAACGGTTGGCCCTCAAGGGAAGGCAGGGGCAGATCATAGGCATTCCCTGCCATCCAAGGAGGCTTCCATTTTTGCAGAGCCGGCACATGGCGCTCTGTTTCTGGGCTCACCCAAGGAATCGTCACGTCCTGCACATGCCTGCTTGACCTCACAACCGTATAAGGCCTCCCGCTCGACAAGGGTTGCGCCCTCCGGAAGTCAGCGGGGAGCAGCAAGCGAATTCTGGACTTTTGTGACCACCCAAATAGGTACATTCTTTTTCTTCGCACGTTAGGTATCTTTGACAAGCCGTTAGCCAGAGCAAAATTCAACATCCTGCGTCAGGCATATTGTTATCTGTTTGGTCCCAGCACTCGGGCGAGTGGGGTCTTTTGGTGTGGACATTTGGACTTTTTCCGTTCAATACGATTTGTGATGGTCAGATTTTGAGTTTACTCGTGTGACGTAGGTTCTAGTTTTGTTGGACATTTAGGCTTAGCTAGCCGATGGATGGTTGCTGTCTTGGTGTACCTCAGCGCGGTGACGACGACACTGAGGGTTAACAGAGGATGTACATGGGTAGAATCTTGCTGCAAGACGCCACCCACAGGAGATGTTACTCGTCTGTGCTGCGGGTAAATCTCTAGGTCAAGGGTTGAGTCTCAGCAGAACAATGTTCTCTTCCCTCCGCAATCTTTTAACCAAGGGTTGTAATTTTAGTTGTACGTTAGGCAAGCACTTTACTCATGTTCCTAATGAGTTTTGATAATCTTTTTCACCCATGCGTTTGGGGGCGGGCTGATGAGAGCCACAAGGACACATCACCTCTGGGGGCCGCCGAACTCCGAGATCCCCTGACAGCTCTGTTAATGCTCATTTGAGACATTATTCGTGGCGCACGACGAGGACGTGCTGCAGGGGTCTTGCGTGAGGTTCCGTAAAACCAGAACAGTGAAGGACTGGCGCCCGAGTGACGTACGGAGTATCTCCTTATACACATCATGTTGGACTTAACTTTCCCTCACGCCTGTGACATAAATCACCGCGCCACGGCTGCTGAGATGAAGCCAGAGTCTTTATTAGGATGTCCTGAGTTCTGTGTTGTCTGTTCTTAACTCAAGACCACCATTCTGTTCTATTCTGCGCAGTGTTTTTAATATAATGGGTGGAATCCAGCCCAGCATCTTTGGCCTCTCTATAAATCTTCGTTTTCTTTGTTCACCAGCTTTAAGCTCCGGCAGAATATCTGGCTGTTCGTCCATTTGAACTTTGACTTTGTAACAGAAAATGAGATTTGCATGCACATCCATTTTTCTGGCTTGCGTGCTGGTTGTTCCTTGCCGCTCGGGCAGATACACTCTGACTTTGAAGGAAGTCCCAATTAGTCTCAACTCCTATGGCTTTCTCTTGTTTTCCCAACAATGGGGCCGCAGAACCCACTGGGATCTTTTATCAATGTTTGCCATAGTTTCTCTTGGATGTCCTTGCTTGCTAGAACCATTTATTTCCCATTTGTGTACCAGTTTAGTGATTCCCTGCTCCCTTCTCCTTGGGATTTGGCCAACATATCGGCATTTTCTTTTACCTATAAATCTGTTAATAGCAGCGGTTGTCCATACGTCTTTATACATTTGTTATTAGCTGGGGCTTGTACAGGATAGAAGAAATTTTTCTTCTGCAATCTCCCTTAACTTGATCAGTCCCAAACAACGCATAGTGTGTAAAAAGATAATCCTTGTGAGTCACGGCCAACGAATAATGTGTTTTTATTTTTATGTTTTAAATGTAGTCAAACTACATTCCAGAAATCTGGCTACCCAAGTGGTCATTACGATGTGTTTGGGCTTTGTCTAGAATTCATAAATTTGGTCCCACCTGGGAATTTGCTGATAAATCCTCTGGGTCCCAAAGAGTCAAAAGGGCAGTTAGCATGCTACCTTGCAACATTTGCAACTTATTCAACACATTGAATTTATGCAAACCCACAATTATTAACTTCTTACAACATGCTTATTAAGGGAAGCAGTGGGACGATTATTCGAACCCCTTGCCCCCAGGACCCAGAACCCACAGGGAGAGATACAAGACATAAAATGATATCACAAATATATCTGCATGAGATACAAAAGGCCGAATAAAAAGAGTGAAAACACACAGATAGAACAAACAGAATGGCACAACAGCATAAAATGATATCACAAGAATACCTTTGCACTGAGACATAAAGGGTTAAAGAAAAAAAAGAAACTATAAAATAAATGGAGAACAGAAATAGAGACATAAGTTATAAATATGGAGAGCATATGGAGCTACCAGCATTGGATGTCAAAGGCGAAGAGCAAATGCTCCAAAGAATAGAGGGCAAATCTCAAGATATGGTGGAGGGAAAAGAAGCGGGGAAAAAATAAGGAGACAAATAACAATAACAACTAGAAGATCAAGGTTTTATGAAGTGAAGGACCAATCTGTCCTGGGCCAGTATTTCTTTCCCAACTCACAGTAAAGTAGATAAATTATTTTACAAGTCACCACTTGAAGAGATAGTGTGATGTCAACCACATCAGCCAGAGTTGAGTTGAGTTGATTCAAGAACTGACATCACAGCACTCGGGGCATTCCCATAGATGCTCTATCGCCATCTTCAGCAGCCAGTGGATAGTTCCAATACTAATGGTGCCAGTAGCATTCTGATTAAATATCTGTTTTGCTTTTCCTCTGAGCTTCAATCATTTGCCAGAACCTCTCATTACTCCCCGCTGCATTCATCTCACCAGACTGTGGAGATCCATCTGCCCCTCTGAACTGTACACGCTCTCCCACAAGGGCACTAATCATGTCTGCCTTTTCATGCATCAGCCTGACACACCGGCATGACCCGGTGAAAAAATTTGAATACTCCTCACCCGTGTCCACCGCAGTGAAGCTTGCCACTCTGCACAAAGCATGCCTGTCCTGACCTTCCTCAGCATACTTTCTGAGTCGGTTACAATCACGATGTATATGTGTCTCCTGTTCTCTAACCAGCGGAAAGCTGCAGTGACCGCCTTCACCTCCATTTTTAAACTCGAACATCAGCCATAGAGTAAATACTAGTCTATAAAAATAGGCGCCACATGGCTGGGCATGGCCACTGAGTTAACCATTTGGGTTGATTCCTCCCAATGAAAAACAGTGGTTTACTGATTCAGTTTCTGGGGAGAGCTTTTAACAAATTTGCTCTCTAGACAGTCTGCAGTCTCCTGCTTATGAAAGTCTTGTCTTTCTGGAAAGTGGGCTGCCGCAATCCAAACATAGTGAAAATAGCATGTTCAAGGCTGTGCAAAGTATCAGTCATTATCCTGCCCCAACATAGCACAGCCACAATACATGCTCCCCCCCCCCCCCCACCTTTTTCTGGAAAAATACACTGTCCCTGCATCGCAAAGATCATCATCATCATGTGCCCTGCCAGCTGGCATAGAAGCTCCTGCGTCTCCACAGATCATGATCCCTGGTTGACTGGAATAGCTTTCGTGATGATATCCCTACATGCCATTGTTTTAGCCCATCCAGCATCATCTCTCTTGGTCTGCCTCTACCTCTTTTTCCACTGTCTGCAAAGATACATACATAATATCCGTCCATGATGAAGAACAGAACAATCTAAGAGAAATTACATCCAGCGAAGAAAAAAACAGAGCAGCTGGTTGCCATCTTAAAAACAGGAGCTGCCACAAGGTCTAAGTAGGGCCCTTTATTTTTCATTGACAGTATGTACTCCACTGCTTTATTCTGAATGTGTGCCAATTATCGTACAAATTTGGTTAATAAAGAGCAGAGATAAGTGATACACAAATATTTACACACCAACCTTCTTTATTGCTCTTGTTGTCACCATCTTTAGGGCCTCTTTCCCAAATGTCAGTTTAGCATTGTTGTTGGTCACATGGTTCAAAATGTCTGCCACAGGAACCATCATTGGTGCAGAGGTCACAGGTCCCTCTTCATCCTCGCTATCATCATCATCACCACCTTGGTTACCACCCTGCGGCTCAGTAAAACTGTACGCCATGACAAATGCCACCATTTTCTTGAAGAATTCAAAATCTTTTCTCTGTAATCTAACAACAAAAACAAAAAGTCATATTGTCCTTGCTGACTGACAGCCTCAGAAACTGAAACAAAATGGCCGTATTCAATATTTCGCCCCATTATGGCCAAAAGAAGAATAGACCCACTGAATACCTAAAAGCATGTCGTAAGAGTCAATTATTTGGGAACTTTCTTCGGAGTCAGGTTGCATCTGCCCAAGAGGCAAAGAATGACAAATCTGCATACACATGAGCCAGATCTGTAAAACAGATGTGCACACAACATTCAGGTTCTAGAATAGGACTGCAGTTAAGATATGCCCGATTTTACAGCCAGTGAAAGCGAAGAAGAAGAAGAATAATATAAATCAGGATAATAAAGAAAAGCAATGGCAGGTCTGGTTCCTGGAAATGAAAGCACTCGGTGGGTAATGTGGTCATCATCACGCTGGCCACCTTTACTTCCCATTACATTACCTGATACACATTTTAGGCTGGGTCAACCTAGAAAACAAGGTCAGTTTGGGGAAAAGAATCCATATTATGTGCATTTGAACTCTAGACCCTGGGGTCATCAGGCAATCAGCTACCCACGACACTACTGTGGCTACCCATACATCTGTGTAATATCCCGTAAAACTAACTGGCAAGACTGTTAGTGCCAAAATATGCCGGAAGAAGTCAGATGTGATCACTGAAAGCCACAAGCATCTCAGCTCATCTATGAAGAGGAACATATAGACACATACACACAAACTGGACAAAGAAAGAAGAAAAGTCATTTATATACTCAATTAAACATGTGACTATAATTTCAGCTAATGAGAATCCTACAAATACTGTGACTAAACAAGATCACAAATGAAGAACTGAGCAGAAAACAATGTTCAGAAATGGCAAATTCTACCATAGGAAGAAGATGGAGATGGCTTGGGCTTGTTTGCAGAATGTCTTGTGATGCTTTGGCAATGACAGCTCTCCAGAGATATGGACGACCTAAGTAAATCTGCATGACAGTAAAAAGTGAAATGAAGAAATGTAAACTGACATGAGATACCATGGCAAGAAAAGCAGCAGACAGGCAACAATGGAGAAAGATCACTTGTGAATGCCTTAACCTTCTGGAGATGATGCAGCCGAAATATCGGCCCAACACAAAGTAGCCAAAAGGACGGATGGGCCGATCGGTTGGCCTGATAAAATACAAACCTTGAGATTGGATGGCAGGTTTTCATACCAGCCAATCAGATTGGTTCTCCCATTTCTTGTACATGTGGGCTGTTCAATGACTGCTTTGAAGAAAGTTTGATTTGTAATTTTACATCGATTTGTTACCTGTACCCAGTAATGGCGAAAAAGGACTGTTGCGTCATAGCAACTGTAACATAGCAGGAGGCAGGAAAAGGAGTAGAACCATGTACCAGGAGTGTCTAAAGGGCTTCCATGGGCCTTATTTTCCAAAGCACAGTTGTTAGAACTTATTCAGGCTTGATCCATTAAAAACTGACTCAAATTTGTCAGGTTAGTCATGTTTGTTCCCGAGTTTCAAAAAAAAGGTTAGCATAAATTTTACAAATCACAATAGTTAATTAAAATAACTGTTAAGATTTTAGTTTGATTCAGTTTCCTACACAAATATGTATAGTTTTCTATATGTGTTTTTTATAATTTTTGTGTGTAAACTATAGAGAATCCCTTTCTGAAGGCTCCATCTTTTTGGCACTGAAACTACAAAAAGGCTCTGTCTCCAAAGGGTTAAGCGTTAAAGCCACGTGAATAGGATTTAAAAAAAAAAAAGATAATTTCAGCTGCAGTCTGTCAAATTTTCAACACAACAGCATGCTCCATTGGAAATATCTGGATGTCATTGTTCTTAATGTTTGTTTTCTTACAGACGAAGTTTTATACTGCCTCTGGCTTGTGGTAGTTAATGAGTTGAAACAGTACAACATCCGGATCAACTTACTTTATGTGGTCTTCATGACGCTGAAAGAAGGGAAGCACCAAGTTGTTGTAGTCTGATTCAATCATTCTTAGATCTCTCTCAACAGCCAGATCAACACCAGTTCCCTTCAGGTATTTTTCTACTTCAGAGCTGAGGACAGAAAATCATAAGCCTGTCTATTAAAAATGTAGCCTGTTAACAGTAAAAACATGACACCCCCCCCCCCCCCCAAATACTTTAAAAAAAAATGTATACAGGTCACCGAAAACTGTTGTTTTTTAAAACTTATATAAACATGAATGGAGTGAAGTATTAAAGGAAATACATTTCCTAGTGCCTAAAAAACAATCTGTATTGGGTGACTCATGCCACGACCCCTGATTCTGATATCTGAGGTCAATTTGGCTTTTAAAAAAGAAAGCTATCTGGTTCACAAGGAGATACCCCCCTAAAAACTATTGTTAGTAACTATATTTAAATAATGACCACCTAAATGCCACGCAGGCCAAACACAGCAGTTAGGCACCACTCAAAGTCACTCCAGACAAGTTGGAAAATTGACCCATATGGGAAATTTGACCCAACCAGAAAGTCATCATGATCACCATCAAGAGCCTTGTTGACTGGGGCAGACAATCATGCTTTACCACATGTTGCCATCTCGTCAGTTCATGTGATGATATCACTTCATGTCATGAAAGAAGGCTGTTAAGAATCTTCTCTCAATGAATTCCTCGATCCCTCTTTCCCCAAAGCTTTCCAGTTATCACAATATGTTCCAGTTCATAATTTTATAGGGAAAGGATGTCATGGACTGTGTTGTAAGGAAGCAGAATATCACTTAGGGAATCTTCAGCACTCTCTGTTCACCATTTAAATCTACTATGATCAATAAACTGGGATGTCAGCTGGAGGTCTCATAGATTTCCCAAAAGCTTAGTTGTCGGGACTACCGGGTGAGGCTACATGTTTCACAGTTCCTCCAGGAGAGGACAGTCTTACAAAACATGTTCTGGAGTCTGTTCAGCATAAAGACACTGATAGAGAGCTGTTTCGTTCATACATAATATGAGTGTTTTCCCCATGTGGGTTGTAAAGCCCTATTTTGGGAGGGAAAATACAAACAGCCCCCCCAGCATCTGCTTAAAAGGCAAGGAACCAAATGTCTGCATACAAATAAGCCAGATCTGTCAAACAGATGTGCAGGCAAAAGTTCTGGAACAAGACTAAAGTCCAGAAGTGGATGAACAACAAAAACTTGTCGCCAGAGCTTTCACCCATGTATGTTAAGAAGAAGAAGATATAAGTCTTAAATCTCCAGTTTGTCAGCAAAAGATGGTGACTGGTTCCGCTCTATTCAGATGTGTGAGGAAATCTATTTTTATGGTTATAACTAGTGTTCAACTCAGAATTCTTTTAATGATATGAAGAGAATAAGGATGAAACAGAAATGATTGCTTATTGGTTAAGAAATTCCTGGTTCTATTTGGGAGCATTTTTCTTAACATGAGCCGGTCTTGACAGTCCTACTCGCCATCAGCATGGACTGTGATTGCCAAGCTTTCCTATACCACAGTTTTATACGATATGCTGCAAAGACTGTAATGTCTTTTAATGTGGCCAAAATATTTTTAATTTTTTAAATTACAATCAGAAACTCCCATTTCATTCCCAGTCTCGTCGGGACCTCTGATGTGACTGTTTTCAAATATTAGTCAAGAATCCAACATCACTGCAGAGGGTCGTCCCATAACCACACCGTCCTTGTCTCAGTGGAAAGCACAAAAACACATCCTTCAATGTCCCATTTCTTCTTCTTCTTCATGTTTACCAGCTGTAAATTCCAGTGGAAAGTTCTGGTTGTTCATCCACCTCTGAACTTTAGCCTTGTTCCAGAACTTGAATGTTGCATTAACATTTGTTTTAAAGATCTAACATTTTTGTAAGCAGACTCTTAGTTCCTTGCCTATAAGGCAGATGTACTCTGACTTCGAAGGAAGCCCCCAATTAGTCGACTCACATGACATGCTTGGTGGGGAGGCCGTGGGTCTATTCTTATTATCTTCTTATTTTGGGCCCCGGAACCCACACAGGGAAAATGTCCCATTTGAAAATCAGTGAAAAACTTATAAGTCCTAGCAAAATCTCGAAGCTTACATCAGTCAAGAAACAAATACATAAGGCACTTGTCAAATGTGCCAACACTAACGGTCTTAGACTAGCAAGCAATCTCAGTGTTGGCACAGATAGTAGTGACAATGTAATAGGCAACTAAAAAACGTTCTTATAGCTATCGCCTTCTAAAAACACAGCTAGCTCTTTCAGTTCCTCTCACAACTGTATATCTCTCGTGAATCCCTGTAATGCTGGCAGGCTGGTGCTGCTACTCATGCCACATTTTCAATTTTCTGCAGCACTGACTGAGTGTTGTTCGTCCATCACAAGTGATGAAGACCACATTCATTCAAAGTATTAATGATCAATGATTATGAGTACAATGTCGCATACCAGCTTGCCCCAATTTTAAAACACCCTGCTGTCCCAGCTGAGATAAAAAGACAAATTATAAATACAATCTTTATACCGACATTAGGTTATCAATGTCAGACTTGGACATTAACAGAAGAACATGAGAGAAGACTAACCACCTGTGAAATGAGATGTTTGAGAATGGCTGCGAATAAAACCAGAAGAGATCGAGTGAGAAACGATGTGATTACAAGAACTATTGGAACCATACCCATCGTTAAATTTATTGAGAAGCAAAGATGAAATGGTTATAATCTGCCTCCGTTTTTCTGCCTGTGCAACCTCCGCTGCCTGGCAGACCGATGTACTATGCCTGAGGGACGTACCCATCCAGAGCGGTCTTGTGCAGCAGCAACCCATGGCGCTGTGTTGATGCCAAAAAAACTTCAGGGTGTCCTTATAGCGCTTTTTCTGTCCTCCCTGGGACCGCTTTCCTTGCCATAAAATACTCTCTTTGGGAGGCGATATTCGGGCATGCAGGTTAGGCAATGACTGCATACCAACAAGTAAATGTAAAACTTACCTCTCCCAAAACAGGGGTAAGTCCAAGGCCTCAAAGTCTGGTACCAGGTCAAGGTAAGGTCGCCACCTGGAAGATGTGCAGTTCTGTTCATACATGAGGGATATTAGGAGTGGTACCCACTGGTTTGTAGCTGACAGCTTCACCTGATCTGGGGATCAATTTAGCAGGAAAAAACATTTTCTATAACATTTCCTTGATTTCCATGTGTGGAGTCCGGGGTCTCACTTTAAAGAAAACAAGAATAGACTCATTGCCCCCTCAAGGGTGACTAATTTTGGGCGTTTCCTTTAAAGTCTGACTGCATCATCTGAGATGAGAAAACAACAGTTTGCATACCAATAAGCCAGATCTCACATGCAAAACTTAAGTTCTGGAACAAGAATAAAGCCCAGAAGTGAATGAATAATCAAAACTTTCCACCAAAGTTTACAGCCTGTAAACGCAAAGAAGAAGAATCCCTTGATTTACAACTGGTGATATATTATAAATTCAATCACAGAACAAATTCTAGTATTTATATTCATTAAATTTTCTATGTGGGTTCCTGAGCCCCATTGTGGGAAAAACAAGAGTAGTCCTACTGCCTATCCAAAAGCATGTCCCAAGAGTTGACTGATAAGGAGCTTCCTTTAAAATCGGAGTGCAACTGTCTAAGAGGCAAGGAACCAACAGTCTGCATACACATGAGTCAAATGAGTAAAACAAATGTGCACATAACACTCAGGTTCTGGAACAGGATTAAAGTCCAGAAGTTGACGAACACACAGAACTTTTTACCGGAGTTCACAGCTGGTGAACAAGAAGAAGAAGATTTTTTATTAAATATAGTTATATGGTTCTCTTCTTTTTGTTTCTTATACTACTCGTTCTTCTCCTCCCTGTCCTTCTTCACTTTATCTAATAAATCTTCTTCTTCTTCAACTACATGTTCACTGGCTGTAAACTCCAAAAGAAGGTCCTATTTATTAGTTCACTTTGGTCTTGTTTAAGATGGTCTCGTTCCAGAACATCCATTTTACAGCTCTGGTTAATACGTCTGCAAAACTGTTCTTTCCTGGCTTCTCAGGCTGATGTACTTGGACTTCAAAGGAATTGTCGATCAAACCTACACGGGTGAGGTTCCCACTTGGGAACCTGTTTCTAAGAGGTAGCGCTTTCATTCAAATCACAGGTGTGAGGGAAAGTTAGGTCACTGTGCTGTGTATAAGGAGATACTCTGTATATCCCCTCTGTACTCCGTACTTCAGCAGACTCTGCACTGGTTTTACAGATCCTCATGCAAGACTCCTGCCACCTGTCCTAGTTGTGTGCTGTGGATAATCGCTCACATCCATGTAGTTAGCCTCCTTTGGACATTTTTTTGTAGGGCATGAACAGCCAGACAGATTGGCATGTTCTCCACCTGGGTGGTGATACACAACAAGGTAGATGTGGCCAAGGCCCTTTTGGGAGCAAGAAAACGATGCAGAAGTGCGAAAAAGATCCTTGTTGTCTGGAAAGAAAGGTACAGCTAGGAGCAACCAGGTGATAAGGTCGACATTTTACACTCCGAGGAAAGGAAAGATGGACATATGATCAAACTGCTACTGGCACCACTTGAATTAGAACTCTTCATTGGCTGCTGAGGATGTTGGTACTTATAGGAATGTCTGAGTGTTGTGATATGAGTTCTAAACTCAGCTCAACTATTGGCCTGATTCTGTTCATTTCTGATGACTGGATGCCCCCCTCCCCCCCTTGTTTTGAGAATAATGTCACCAACAGATGAATCTAGTACAGCAAAGAAAGATCTGCGAAGATACATGGAAGTTTACGCGGTGTGGCATGGCTATTAATGAGCTAATTAGTTATTTGGGATATGATCATTGCCCTCTGGACATGTCCATGGGTGCTCAGATCCTTCCCTCAATATGAACCCCAGTCCTGCGACTAATAGTGCCATTTCCTTGTTAAGTCTTTTTGTATGCCCCGTGCGTCTCTGGTTTTCGGCTATGCCGATCTTAACTCCTGAGTCTTTCGTTCTGGTGAGCGATGTTTAATCACTGTCTGGAAGGTCCTCCACCCTTCCCACTTCTCTGCGGGCACTAATAATATCAACTTGATCCATGGCTTGACCTTTAGCAGTGATAGCGGATCCAGTCAACTTTCATTTCCATCAACGCCAGCATGCCCCGGAACAAAGATAATGGCGACATTACGCAGTGGACTTCTGTAATGGTTTATATTAATGAGCTAATTGACCAGCATCATACCTTTGCTTATGAGGGTTGCAATATCGGTGTTTGCTGGCATGAGAAGAGAAGATCTGCGTACTTGGAATAAACAGTAGCCTTCTGCAATATCCTCAGCAGCAACCATGCCATACTGAGCACATGATCCCTCTCGTCCAATCCTGACCTAGACAATGAATGGTTAAAATCAAATCACAAACACATCACAAGGAGGAGCTATTGCATCATATTTGAGTGTCATACACCTGCAATGTTTTCTTATGGTTTTAGGGATTAAAAACAGAATAGACCACTGCCCTTTCCCCTCAACAAGCATTAAATAGAAGGCAACCAATTAGGGGTGGGCTGAAATCAGAAATGTTAACTATATGTTTTGGGCCCAAAGATGAGAATATTGTAGCCTGCTTGTGAATGACAAGACAATGTGCAAACCATCCTGTGAGGATGAAAGCAGAAAAAGAAGAACGATAAACAAATTAATAAACGAATCAAGAATTGACATCACTGCACTCAAAACATTCCCACTTGTGCTCCGCCCCCTTCTTTAGTAGCCAGTGAAGAGTTAACATGCTAACAGTATCAGATGCAAACTGAGGAAAAGTCCACCTGTTTCCTCCTCAGTGATAAATAGCTTACAACAACTCAACTTCCCCTGTTGAATTAGTCTAAAAATTTTTGAATTCTCTGTCTGTTCTTTTGCACTGTCCATTTGATCCCAGAGAGCCTTCTCTGCCTTCACTGCATCCAAAACTAGCTCACTGCCCAGAGTTGTGGCAGCAGCTAATCTATCAGTCTGCTCATTACCTAGCACACCTGAATTTCTTGCCCGTCTTTCTAGCGTAGTTGGCTAAACCGGATTGCGCGGTGAGCGGGTGACGCACTCCTTGTGGTCCGGGTTCACTCCCGGGTGTGGGCAGAAAAGCCCCATTTCTCCCAGATTTACGGTATTTAAAATGGAATCAAGGCCGAAAGGTTGCGATATCCATAATAACGAGCCTAAGGGTTAACAACTCATAGCTTCTGGATACTAAAACAAACAAAACAAACCTGAATATCTTAAACAAACAAATTCATGATCGTAGTCTCACCAAGTGATGCAAGCCCCTCTGCGGGCAGGATACACATAATTTGTTAATGCAAGCTCAGTGTAAGTCTATTACAATTATAAGTTGGGCTGTGCAGCTTTCAAGAAAGCTCCCTTTACTGCCTCCACCTCCATTCTCAAACTGGATATAGTGATTTAGTACAAATGTTGTGGCTCTCCTTTGAATCAACCCTCAAAATGGCGGCTTTACTATGATGGCGTTCGAAAGAGAGCTAAATTGGCCAATTTCTTGCCATAAAATATCCAAAACTATCCGAATGGGGTCAGTTCTTTTAAAAATATATGAGCCGGCTCTGGATAACGAAACAAACGCTCTGACAGGGTCTCGGCGATACGTTACTTGCCGACCTGCTTCTGCGAGTGTGCCTCACCGCGAGCGTATGGGGACTAAACTAGATGGCTGGGACTCACGAGCGGCAGCTACCGCATCTCCTGCAACTTCCTCGAATTACTGTACTCGTGAGTTCCAGGCACCTAGTTTAGCCCCCATCCGCGCCACGCGTAGCGGCGTGGGGGATACGCTCGGCGATGAGTTTAATCGTGTCTGGCTCATGCCGACAAGTCTGACATCTACCGCTGCTAAATCCTTCAATCGGAAGAACACAGTATTGCTAATCGGCTTTCATCGTCTGTAATGTCTCGAAATTGGTCGCTAATATCTCGTCTGCTAGTATTGTCTGCATAAATGCTCGAAATTGTTGTCAACGGTCGGTATTTATCGTCTGCTACTACTGTGTGCAAATGTTGATATTGATTGTCAAGTAATCCTAGTTTTGCCGTGATTTGTTCCTTGGCAGAAAGTCCATATTTTAGATACACGCGAACACTGTCGTTCAGATATTTCTGGATATTTTATGGCCAGAATGTGGCATGCCTCCATTTTTGGGGTTGATTCAAAGGAGAGCCAATGTTTTTTTCAAATAGTCTCCATTCACCTTTGCAATAAAACCTCACTCACTCTTCTTACATCTCACTACAGAACCATCTATATTTTTATAATGGTGTCACCAGGGCATGAATTTATAAATGTTAATTACGAGCTTTATTTTTCATAATTTGAGTGTGTAAACCAAAAGAATCCTTTCCTGAAAGCTTTGTTTTTTTGGCCTAGAAAATCCAAAAAGGCTCCGACTCCAAAGAGTTAATATCATATGAAAGTTTCAAATTTAATATATCATATATTGAATTTCAAGGCTATCTTCCAAATAACGGCCTCAAATTATCTATGCAGAAAATATTCCCGAACAGGGCCTCAGTCATGTGTCAATTGCGCACTTCCGGCGACCTAATTTGAGGGTTTTCTTGCGAATACCACCACCGCTGATAGTATAACCCATGAGGCGTGGATTGGGGGCTAAACTGGATGGCTGGGACTCACATGCAGCAGCTTCCGTATCTCCTGCAGCTTTGCTCGTCAGTCCTAGCCATTTAGATTAACCCCATTCCAAGCCGCGTGAGCGTCGTGGGGGATACTCTCGGCGGTGGCGGTAGTCGCCGGAAAACCGCAAATTCGAGCGCCAGAAGTGCATAATTGACACGTGACTGAGGCCCTGTTTTTGGCCGCTTTCTTTTGTGCCCGTTATTCGGAGGATAGCCCAAATTATCATACTCGTACTTTCGCAGATTCTTACAAATTTAATAAACTAATAAACATCATAAGGAAGGCGTACTTTATTTGTTATATTAAACTTGTTCTTGCTGCACCAGTCAATAAAGTTTCTCAGTTTGTCTTCAGATACATCAGAGAGAGTATTCTTTTTCTTGAGCACTTCGCTGTCTCCAAATTCACACGTTCGTTTCGTGGACGCATCCATTTTCTTTATTTGGAAAGTTCAGAGTACTTTCCCAAAAGTTAAGAGTACTTTCCCTTTCCACTGTCCGCCTCCTTTCTATCATTATCATCATCAGTTTCCACTTCTGCGGTACCGTTAAGCGTAGTGGGGAGGAACATTCTGCGATCCACTGATGAATGATGGGCAGCAATGGCTGTTGTTATTCCGTGTCGACGTAGAAGCTCTTTAATGTCAGTAATCCATCTCCTAGGTTGTCCTCTCTTGCTTTCACTTCAAACGTTTTCTGTCAGCCTCAGCGAGTTAGTTTATAAAATAGTTAGTTAGTCGACAGATTATCCTCATTACACATCAAACCAGTCAGTTCTTAAGTGCTCCGATCCTCTCCTCAGTAAATCAGTAAATTCCGCCGCGTGTAACGGCTGATGACACTAGTCTTGTGATGTTTTCTTATTCTTCTTTGGCTTCTTGCATAGTCCCCTTGTCTGTCCCACCCCTTTTAACTTGTTGTATATGTAGTCTGCTCGTAGTTGCAGATTCACAGTCATAACTTGGTTCTCGCAAACGTGTCTTTTCTCGTAGAGCATTCAGTGTATCAGCATGTTTCATGGCACGTCCGCCCGCCACGGTAGCTTAACCTGCAAGCCTATCAGCTTGCTCATTTCCTTACACACCTGTGTGCCTTGGAACGAATAGGCAACTTTCTATGTGTCAGCCCCAACCGCCTAAAATACTCCGTAGTAAAAGCCCATGAGCTTCTCAAGTAGCCAACTACAGACCCACCTGTGTAAATGACAGCATCATTTCCCCAAGGAGGAAATGCTGAAGAAGTTCTAGGTGGGGTGTTCCGATTCGGATGTGAAACGTGTGCAGCTGCACGAGACGACAAAACCGACACAGTGTTGAAGTAAACAAAATAAATAGTAATAACTGAAGGGGAAATAAATATAATAATATATGCCTGAAGTAATAAATAGTTTATAAACATTTAAAAAATATTATATCCATCGTTAATAGGGGTTACAATGACAACAGCTCTCATAAGTCAGCTTCAGGCCTCAGGTATGAGATATTTGAGAAAAGTGGTCCAAGTGACAAAAAGGGACAAAGTCCGAAATCAGACAAAACGTCAAGATCTGGATACCCAGTTCGTACAAACCCGAGTGAATCAGTCAAATTAACGAAGGTTTGGACTTGCATGCCAAATGGGAGAAAATCGGCCACCATAGTCCAAGTCCAAGTCCTTTTGAGAAAAAAGAGAAAAGCTCGACCACGTTCAGACTGCTGCTGAGGGCAGTGAAGTTCATGCTAGAGACAAAGTTGTAGACTTAGATAATCTATTTCAAGCGAACGAAAGAAGAAGTAGAAGCCAAAACTGAAAAACAGTGATGATCAGTGTTTAAGTGTTTTAAAAAAGCCTACAGATAAAAGCTTCAAGAAACAAAACTATTTGTCAGAAGTGGGATTTGAACCCACGCCCACAAGAGTGAACTGCGACCTGAACGCAGCGCCTTAGACCGCTCGGCCATCCTGACTAGACTGTTATTTGGCCAAGTGCTTATGCGGATTGGTACTTGAACCACCAAGACTGTCCCAAAATACACCATATCAAGACAATATTGAAAGATATAGGTAATCTATTTGAAGTGAAGTCCTCTGAAAGTACTGGAGAGTTTTGGGAAATGCCATTCTGGTCTCAAGACTCAGTGGAGGGAAAACCCCAACTGCACCTCCACGCGGCAGAGGACGGTAAACACACTGCGGTGTGGCCAACGTAGCTATGGGGACCGAGTATCCGCCGGGATAAGTGGACACCTCTGGGGTGCCCTCTGCTGTTAGCAGGAGCATCACAGAGCAGGGCACTCATTCGAAAAGGTTGCTGAAGGCTGAGGACATAGTCTAAAGCCACGTGGATGTGGAAATCAACGGGAAACAACCACATCACTATCCCAAGAAACTCATCATGGAAACCAAAAATGAAACTCAAAGATCTGAGAGCGACGTTCTGCAAAGGACCTGCTACATGATGATGATAATTTGAAGTGAACAAAACAAGAATATTATACTGCCGAAACTGGAAAACAGTGATGAATCAATATATCATCACCAGGTGCCTTGCCGACTGGCGTAGGCGATCGAGCCTCTCCACTATCTGCGATCTCCTGCAGCATGTATCAGTTCGTGTGCCGACACACCTCCATGCTATGCAACAAAATTGTCAAAAATCGTCTCTCGTTGTCTTCCTATATCCCTCCTTCTACAGATCTTTCC